ATATGCCAGCGCGTGTGAGTACGTCTTTATACCTTCCAAGCATGTTCTCAACCCACTCCCAATAATGAGAAGTGAAGCACGCCTCACCAAAGAAGGACGAAGGGGTTTTCCATGTAGCTTTGTCAACATTGAAGCCCACGAACGGAAGCGTGAATTTGGCTATTTCTGGATCTCCATTGTGAAGTGACGAGTTTAATACGACCACTTCTTCTTCCCTCGATGTAGTGGAAAAAGTCGACGGTGCCACCACTTCCTTGGTCCACTTGCTAGTCCAATCTTCGAGATGAAAGCATCCTTCGAGGGGTATGAAGGATTCAGCGAGCGGGCCGATTGCTGGTTTGTAAACATGTAGTGACAAGCTCTTTGATTGAGTTCCTCCCCGTTCATCCGTCAGTGAAATGTGCGGCACTGGCACGGCGTAGTTCTTAATTTGCATGATTGCTGGAATTTTGTAAAAGAAAATATTAGAGGATGCAGGAGCTTCGTGCAAGAAGTTTGGTAATTAAATTACCTAATTGGTTGCCTCTTCTCAAATCCTCGGAATTGTTTCGAACCCCTCTTCAAGCACAGCTTGAGTTGTCTACAAAGAGGCAAGTTGATAAAGTTTAGATCAAAATCATGTATAGTAGGAATATTTGGGGGGGCAAAAAAAAAAAAAAGGAAAAAAAATAATTATTATTATTTTTAAGGTCAGAGTTCTCGCTAAAGGAAGGAAAATTTTTGCTCAGATATCATATTGTCCTAATAGATGAGCAAAAGCAAAAAAAAAAAATGAATAGAAAAAAAAACAAATAAAAATGGTATGAAAATTGAGATTTCAGCTCCGAGGAATAGCTCAAAAAAAAAATATATATATATTTTGAACAGATCTTCATGTTAAATTGTCAGCTCTCAGGAATAGCAAAAAAAGAAAGAGAAAAAAAAAAAACAAAACAAAAAAGGGAAGCCGCGAGTACCGGATGACGGCTGGCTCTGGCGCAGCAGCAATTTGATGCTTGCAGCTCGGCGAAGGTGATAATCAAATTCTTCAAACGGCTTGCAACATTGACAACGAAGATGTTGTCCCGAATCTACTGTTGCTTAGACTACAAGGGTAAGCCACGGTTCATGCAAAGCGGTAAAACAAGAAACATAAGCAGGGACTACCAGGCCAAAAATATGAATGCTTATGAAAAGTGGAAAAAGAGTCAAGATAATCACCTCCAAGTCGGCGCGACGTTAGTGGAAAATTTTGCACTGGTAACGACAAAGCTGGTACTAGCAACCGCAGCAATTCTAGATAGCAATTGTCGAATCACTAGTTGCAAGAAAGAGTTGGTAGCAACGACGGGGCAATTCGGCAATAGCAGAAAGTTATTATTGCTGTCTCTAGCTTCTCACAAGTGAATGGACAGCTCTAGTCTTGATTATTTATACTAGTGGCATTGTGATTAGGGTCCGAGGTAAACCTGGGTGGAAGGTGGTTCCAATTTGGATAGAAGTAAACTTCTAATACTATGTGGATTGTTGGTAGGACACTAAAAGGAAGTAACTTCATGTACGATTGAGAATGGAGCCGGGCGATCTTTTATTGCTTTGACGTCAATCTGTGAAGAAATTGGGAACTCAAGTTTAATGTCAATTATGATTCTAACATCAGTTTGGCTTCAGGACTTCATGCTCGGCTAATTAGATTTTGTTATGAGGGGTTAGTAGAATTCTAACGAATCTCAAATTCTACTTGGAATTCTCCGATGGCAATTGGTTTCTAGTTCGGCTTGGGAATAAGAAACGCGTGGCCGGGTGGTGGATGGATGTTCGAACCATAGGAGTTGTCCACAATTCTTGAAAGTATACTTTCCATGTTTCGCGGATTGAGCCTGCCGTAAATTGAATTGACTAATTCGTAAGAGATAAGAATTCTAGTCAAGCTTTGAGATGTCGCGTGTATGTCGTTTGTATCCTAAGGAGCGAAGGAAGGCCTGGAAATTTGGGCAAATGAATATGAAGTCTCTCGGCCGAAGGAAAGAAATTTCTCGCGAGGCCTTTGTAGGTTTTGGGAGATTAGCTGATGACGGTCTCCCTTGCAATTGGGTTTTCGGACTTCTAAGTTGCTTGAACTTTGAAGCTAACAAGGAAGGGAAGCCGTTAACCCGAGAGTCCTAGTAGAAGAATTCTTGGTGATTTGCTGCGTAAGTTCCCAAGGCCGACAAGAAGAAATGGTCTCGAATTTCGGAGCGGTGGAGTTCCGTGTAGGATTAATCAACAAGAGGCATATGAGATCAATTGGATTCATATGATTTCATTTTTTTAAGTGCCTTACACGTGAATGATTGAGCATGCAATATGTAATATTCTACAAATGCATGTATTGAGCTTCATTGAGGACAAATGGTCATGATTGAAGTTGATGACCATTAATTTTATTATTTTTAGGGACCGATTTCCTTAAATGGCAAGGGAAGGGAAAATATCAACGTATTAATTATGAAATCGAAACTTGTTCGTTCAAGTTTTACTCTTCGCAAACAAGTTTCGAGGGGGCATTTGTAGACAATGGAATTTTAATTAAAATTCTAAAAATTGCCATTGGTCTATAAATATTTTTGTCCAATCAGACATTGCCATATGGCATGTACACTTGGAAAAATTGGTTATTAAATGGCCAATTATATTTTGCCACGTGTCAAGGCGAGGTGTTCCAGATCAATTTAAATTGCAGAGATATCTCCACCAACCAAATCATATCATATCACATGCCTATTGGATAAATATCTAAGTATTTATTTCTTATTAAAGGGATAATATTTAGAGTTGTTCAATCCAAGTATATTTCTTATATACTGCAATAGCCTGACCAGTCAAACGGCGCCACGTCACGTGCCCCCACGAGTTTGGCCAATCGAGGAATTACTTATCTCTTTATTAATAAATATAAAATAAAGAGATAATATTTGGCTAGCACAGTCCTAATATGACTGCACGTCTTGCAAGACAAGTAAAGTGGTACACAGGTCTTCAACCTCTACCCCTTGCTACAGCTATAAATAGAGGTCTCTCAACCAAATCAAGGACACACAAAAAAAACAAATACACAGAGGGACTTCAAAGAGCATCATATACGCTCAAAGCATTGAAGCTCCAAGCTACAAAGGTTCGGCTCTTCAAGCTCTCCAAGTCTCCCAGATATCAAGACTTGAGTCTTCAAATATCTTCTAAAGTTCTTCAAATCTTCTATATCAAGATTTGAAGGAATCGGTGGTGGATCCAAGAACAAGCTGCGAAACCCTTGGATTGGCGTTCGAGGAAAAGAATCGAAGGAAACTCTCCATAAGTTCGAGAAACTTCCAGAGATTGTACCCCATATTTCTCTTAAATTTATATATCACATATTTGTCGTGTATTTCTTTTTCTTGTCGTTTTGCAGACTTGAAATTTTATCGCGTACAATTACATGAGTCACTTAAAAAATAAAAGAAGAAGGAAACGATGTAAAACTCTGTCAAACTCATTTCTATCTGTGTTCCATCTCTCTCTCTCTCTCCAAAAGAAAACCTAAGAACCAAACTTCAACAAAAATTCAAGTTGGGCATGGCGTGATCCAACATATGTCGAAGACATCAATTTCTAATTCCCGGTTCGTCAAGAAGCATGAATGCAATAGATTCTACTTTCAAAAGGCTAGAATCAAGACAATGAAGACTGATCTTGATAATTGTGTTCTTATAGTTGCTTTGGTTCTTGGTGGCAATCAATTGACTCATATGAGTCCTTAAACTTAATATTTAGTATTAGAATGGCATTTGACATTTTTTATACAATAGTGGCTGGACATGTGACTGTCACATGACTTTTTCCGTTAGCAATTTGGGAAAAAATCGTCAAGGGTATTAAATGTGCTCAAAATTTGAAAGTTCGGACACCGGATTTGTTTTCATCCAAAATTTGGGGACTAAAACCGCTCATATGTCAAAATTTTGATACCAAAAATGCATTTTTCTTGATGAAAAATTGTGCTTTACTGAATAGTTACTAAAATAGTTGGGCATTTTAATTTGATCCAATTCACCCTAGTTCAGAAATGGGTCAACCTGATAACTTGGGTGGACTAATTTGGGCCTAGCCCGTTAGTCCCTGCCAATTATTTAAATTTTGGAGGAACAGCAAAATATTTCTTTTGTGAATATTGAGGAAAAATATTTGAAGATAAACCACCGTTTAGCATTGAAACAAGTTGAATCCCTTCATTAGAAATAATAGATTGACTATATTACATGTCCAATGTCTTTGATCCAGTGTCTAAAAATTGAGACTTCAAAATTTAGAGATTTTGAATTCAAATTCTCCTTTCCCTCTATCCTCCTAAAATCTCAATTTTACATATATATATATATATATATATATATATATATATATTAGATATCATCATCCATAATTTTCACTAAATATTTACTCTAATTGCCTTCGGTGATATAATTTTTTTATTAGACCATTTTATGTACTCCTTAAATATAAAGTTTTAGTTTATACAAACGATTCAAGAGTTTTGACACATAAAAAGTATCTTAAAATTTACGAGTTCTCATTGAACACGTGGCAAGGATTTATAATACACTTGCTCGTGCAAAGATTTTGTTACACTAATCCTACTTATAAGATTAAATCTGAAGGTACCAAACACCAATATGGTTTAGCGACAAACACAATCCCCTATAGGAAGTAAAATCATCTTTACGTTGAATTTTATGCTGGGGTGTGATGGCATTGTTCCCTTATGCAGCAAACACAGATACGCGTCTTTGGCGTCTCATCAACCACGGAGAGAGTGCAGCACTCGTTGATCTAGCATATCTCAAGAGGGCAAATTGAAATGGCAATCCAGAAACCTAACCATTAAAATCAATCACATTAATTTACTTCAATTTAAACTTGGATTAACTTTTAACCAACTGCAAAAGGTTAACAGTTTAGACACCAAGGAGTTTTGATCCAATTTGTATGTTTTATTTTAACCATAGGCAACTAGTAATTGTAAATCTAGATAGATGACAGAAATCACATTGCAAGTACATCAGAATTTGATCATACAAGATCAGAAGCCATCCCAAGTAGAGCGAACAAATTTACTTCGCTACTAATCGGTTCAAGTCTCTTGTTGTTCTTGTCTCTTAGCAATCCAATTCCCCTACAGAATCCCATCCATCCCACTGTTTTCATTCCTTTTTGCTACAAAGTGACTGCTACTAACCTTCTCAAATACATGGTCAAAGATAGAAAATTGCAGAAATATACTCCTAAATCTTCTTTCAAAACCTGCATCATATGAAAGGCAGCTTTCTTCAGCTCCGAAAGAAGGGGTGATTTCATTTAGTTGGACTCCAAAAATATACTCCAAAATCTTCTTTCAAAACCTGCATCATATGAAAGGCAGCATTCTTCAGCTCTGAAAGAAGGGGTGATTTCATTTAGTTGGACTACAGACCAACTAACCATTCCACCATGTACCAACATTCCATCAACAAAAATTAACAAATTGTGCACCAGAGTTAGATAGGCAAACAAATCAGTACAAGACAAAAATATAACTGAGATTTGTCTGTGAGATTAATCACCTATGATTTTCAATGTTCTGTACTACCTTACAGATGACCAGCAGGAAGAATATCATATAGCTTGACAAAAATATGTCCTCAGGGCTCAATACAATTAACATTACAGGAAAAGGCTTGATGGCAAAAGGTGTAAATAAGTTCATAGAGTTAAAAAATTTAGGACAAAATAAAAGGCATCTGTGCAAGTATACTAGTCAGTCAGGCAATCAAATTGTACGAGATGAAAGTGAAGGCAATGAGTACACTTGTTTCTGGATCAATAAGAAAATAATCAAATTTCAAGTAGTACACTGCTTGATCTGACAATTGGCTTTTGTCTATCCTCATTGTTACTAAGATAAAGCCATCTTTCTCACTCTGGAAACAGCCGAAATTCCCAGGTGATACAACCTGAAGTATACCAGCTCTTAGGTAATTGCACCTTGAGGAATTCAAGGCCCAGCAACTCAATCACATCTTTTCTAATTGTGGTATGTTGAAGTAATTAAGCCAGGAGAAGAATTAGGGGAGCCAACAACTTCACTGGACAGGTTCACATGCAATGGAAACAGAAGAAACAGAAATCTGAGTCACCTAAAGTCTTAACAGTCATTGTTCAAATTTCCTTCTCATTTACTTTTCAATATCTCCTCCACGAGCAGATAGCTTTGTGAACCACATGGAAAGAACATCCTAAGTGACTTCTATAGGTAGTTTATAAAGCTTGGGACTTTTTTCATTTTCTTACCTTTTATTTTCTGATAACACAGTAAATCATGTGTATACTATACAAAGAAATGAGAACAATTGAGACGTTAATTATCAAACTTCAGTATCGTTTCAAGAGGTATCATGTAGATCTCCCTATTAAAGATTGATAATCCCACCTACTTCTGAGAAACATATAAAGTATCTTCAAAATGTAGCAATATTAAGATGACTATCTCCTTTAAGAGGATTACTGCTTGTCATTCAGACAAGTATAAAAAGAGTACTAAAGTACTTTCAGCTCCTATTTTCTACAGATGTAACACCCCGCGCCCACGGGATGGCCCAATAACTTTTTGAGCTGAAACCACGAATTCAAAATGGTTAACAAAAAGTTATTAGTAACCCAACGGGCCGGACGTTATAGTCCCTTTCCTTTTCCTTCTCCTTCTCCGTCCCAACGTTCAATGGATGTACGAGGATGTTATAACGTCACGATGAGGGACATTATATTTCCTTTCATTTTCCTTCTCCATCCTAATGTGGGACAGATGTACAGGCTTTGCGAGGATGCAAAGTCCTTAGGTGGGGGTGAGTGTGATACCCCATACATCCGTCCCACGTCGGGACGGAGAAGGAAAAGGAAAGGAAATAATGTCAGCCCCGTTGGGTTACTAATAACTTTGGGTTAACCACTCTGAGCTCGTGGTTTCAGCTCAAAAAGTTATTAGGCCAGCCCGTGGGTGCAGGGTGTTACAACAGATCTACTTGATTCATATAAACAAATAATTAACAGCATTAGCTTGAGGAAGCAGAAGAGAGGCACTGCTATAGAAGAACAGGAGATAACCAACTTTTCAAAACGTTCACAATGCACCAACTTTTTATCTTTCCTAAGCTAAATAAAAGGTGACCCTATGAAGTGAAACAACAGAAAAGCAGTATTTCCAAGTAATACAAGATGTCATTATTATAAACACACGCTTAAAGTATGCCATTGTACACCTACTGGATGCTGATGCATCCTCTATCAACAGTATCAAGTTTAATGAAATTTCTGTAATCTTACTGAGGATGTGTGCAAGATGCAGTCTTGTGGCCCTTTTTCATATTTTTACGAGCATCTTCCTGGGATGTCTATTTGTAGGTAGCCTTGTCCTACTTTTAGAAACTTCCCTGAAAAAGCAAAGCTAGTTAACACACAAAGTTTATTTTGAAGAATCTAGTTGTAATGCTGCTAAAAGTAAATCAAGACTTTGTTTAATGAAGATCAATGTATGACACAGACTGAACAGTAGCAGTTACTCAAAACCTAAGTTCTCTTAAATTTGAAGGTACTATCTACGACCACAACTTTAAGTTCTGAAAACCATAAGGAAGGTTGTGTAACAAAATTATTGCTTTAAATAGCAGAAAGAAGTATTTGATGAAACAAGATGGCCTAAAGTTGCAAGCAATTCCAAAGTTATAGCTAGAGAGCCAGATAATTATTTGTGACAGACATTCCTAGATTCCACTTGATGAGAATAATCTAATGTCCTGAGCTCCACTTCCCTTTTTTTTTTTTAATTATCAGACAGCTTTATTTGGAATGAAAGTAAACATCTAATGAAGTAAGAGCCCAGAAGCAAACGCACAGATGCTATGCTCCATTGACACTGCCTATCTATACTTACAATATAGATTGAAAGATCATGCTGTTTAAATGCAGCGTTGCATGCCTCCACCATACAAAATCACATGGATAACAATACTGAAGACTAGTATCAGATTTCCGGACTAGATGCCATACTGATACCTTCAGAAAATTAATTTCACATATGGATAACATACTGATACTTTCAGAAGCCATCTAATGAAGAAGTAAGAGCCCAGAAGCAAATGCACGGATGCTATGCTCCATTGACACTGCCTACCTATACTTACAATATAGATTGAAAGATCATGCTGTTTAAATGCAGCGTTGCATGCCTCCACCATACAAAATCATATGGATAACAATACTGAAGACAAGTTTCAGATTTCCAGGACTAGATGCCATACTGATACTTTCAGAAAATTAATTTCCCGCAATTGTCAATTGGGATTTACAGCCTATGTGTTGAATCTCCATTATAATGACACAAAAATTATGGTATAAACTAATAAAGGTAGATGCTGTTGAAGGAAATGTACCAGTGAGAAACAATGTCTCATTCCTCCTTTCTTAAACTGCAGAGTCAAAACGAACAAGAAGATCATCATTTCCCACACTTTCTTGTTCTTGTTTAATTTGCATAACTGACCTAACAGCATCATAGGAACCGTATACATCAATTATCTGGAGATAAGGAATTTCAGCAAAATCAAGAGGAACTTCTCTAAGGCAGCGGCAGCGAAAAAGGCGAAGGTGCTTAAGACTTGGAAATTGAGTACTGGTTGCTCTCCAATGGACAAGATCTGTCTCATCAATAAGCAAATACTTTAGCCGGGAAAACCCCTCTTCATATTGTTCCCAGTCTGATCCTACAAATGCATTATTTTTCAGTTTGAGCACTTCAAGATTAGGCAACATAGAAAGAACATTCATATCTTTCCATGGTAGGTAGCTGGAACTTAGAGTCAACTTCTTCAGGTTTGGAGGAAATTCATCCACACAGGGAACCCATCGTCTTTCTTCAGCAAATAAGTTTATAAAGTTCAGTTTTAATATTTCAAGTTGATGTAGTTGAGCAACATTACTGATATAGGACCAGCAGTTGCTCTGAATGGGGTAAACTGAACTAAACAAGTTACCAGATGGGAAGACACGATCAAGCCAAAGTTTTTCAGTTACGTGTGCTTCTGCAGTTTCATATAATCCCAACTTCTTTAGATTTGGAAGGCTAGCAATTACTTGCATGGTACAACTTGAGAAGCTCAATTTGGAGAGTGTTTGTAGGTTCCGCAGGACTAAATCACCTTGTCCATTAATTTCTGCCCCTGCAGGATTGGGCAGAAAACTGCAGAAATTGAAATGGAGATGCCTTAGCTGCTGCATTGTCCACAGTTTCCATGGTAAAGACGTGCATCCAGAATAAATGTTAAGAACCAGAGTTTGCAAATTCCAAAGGTGGGATATAGTTGATGGAAGCTCAGTGACTGATAACGCAAGGAATCTCAAGTTACCAAGTTGTAGAATCTCAACAGGGAAACAATTTAATGCAGAGCGGATGATGTCCAACACTTTGAGCAGCTTGAATGCAGAGTGCCTGAAACAGGAGTACATTGAAAAACGACTAAAGCACAGAACAGAATCTATGTGAGTGGTAGAAAGAATGGGGAAGCTACAATCCATATGGAAACTGAGACGTTGCGCATTGGTTTTGCCTTCATGAAAAACATGGCTGTTGTGATTAACCACGTGCATGAAATGTTCTTTCTCAGCTTCTCTCAAGCACAAGTCCCGCAATATATCATGGATGATACATGTTTTTATTCTGCCATAGGACACTCTCCTGACCAGAATTAAGTTTCTATCGATGAGATCCATCAGACATTCTTCAGCTATCTCTTCCAAGCTTTTCCCTGTCACTTGCTTTAGAAATCCCTCGGCAACCCACAAGTAAATCAGTCTTGACACTGGGATTTCACGATCTTCAGGGAAGGCTCCAAAATAAAGGAAGCATGCTTTCAAAGGAGGAGGTAATTGGTTGTAACTCAATGCAATTATGTCTAAACACTGTTGTGGGTCTCCAGTTACATATGAAGCCACACTATCCGCAAAATTATCCCAGCAATCTCGTGTCCTGTCAATTTTTAGGAGATACCCTGCAACCACAACAATTGCCAGAGGTAGTCCTTGACATTTTGCTGCAATTTCTTTTCCAACTTCCTCCAGCTCTTGGGGACATCTTTCGTCAACAAACAACTTCTGATGCAGTAATTTCCAACTGTCAACTGGGTCTAAAAGCTTGATGTGATGAGGTTTTTCACGGTTAGCATGAACAGCCACCTCCTTGAGCCGGCTAGTTAATATGATTCTACTTCCATTGTTATCATCTGGAAAAATGCTTTTTACAGCATCCCATGCCTCAGTACACCAAATATCATCCAAAACAATTAGATACCTCCTGCCCTTTAAACTTTTGTATAGATGCTCAGCTAAGTCTGCATTATTCATCTCATTATCATTACCAAGCTGGCAAAGATCTTGCAAAAGTATTCTGATTTGAAAGTCTTGAGAAACAGTTACCCACAAACGAACATGAAAGTGAAGTACAATAGAAGGATCCTCATAAAGTCTTCTAGCTAGAGTTGTCTTTCCTACGCCTCCCATCCCTACTATGGGGATCGTTTCCAGTCTCAAAGGTGACTGAGTGAGTTGATCTTTAACTATTTGCAAGTCATTATTAAGACCCACAACATGGTTTTCCATGTATACACGGCGAGAAAAACCGCCAAGCACAGGTCCTCCAGCTTGTAAATCTGCGCTGGCAGCATTCTTTCTTTTTTGACTAATTTTGTTGAGTTTTTTCAGTATAAAATCAACTTTCTCTGTTAATTTTCGCAAACTCCGGCGAAGGATCCTCCGAGCCTTTTTCCAACTTTTTGCACTTTTGGCTGCATAAACATTTAACAGTTTTGAATCAATGACTTTTCTTGCTTTATAGAACACATCTCTGATCTCCAGATCCAAATGTTTCATGCTTCCACGATCATATCTCTTCTCAGATTCCTCCAGAAAGCCTCGCAGAAGATTGACTTTGTCGTGGAGAGACTCAACTTGTTCCTTGTAATGAAGGATGGGATGTGGATCGGATTGCAGTAGAAACTCAAGGTTTTCAAGAAGAGCAGTTATATCTGCATAAGCCATTTCTACTTCTTTCTCTCTGTCTCTTTCGTTTTTTTATAGTGGTAGAATGTATTTAAGCAAACGTAATAGTTGAATATAGACCTGCGCTCAGTTTTTGGTACAAAATTCGGTCATTTAAACCAATAATTACCTCTGAATCTTCAACAACGGAAAAAATACAAGGTAACATGGTTAAAAGAGAAGGAAAGACAACCAGAAAATACTTTTGCTTCTTTGCAGAAACATGAAATGAATTTCAGCCTCAGTTTTATATGAATCAAACATATGATTACCTCTTGAATCTTTAGCAACAGCAAGAATACAAGAAAAGGAAATATGGTTAAACAGAGAAAGAAAAACAACCAGAAAATACTTTTGCTTCTTTGCAGAAACATGAACTGAATTTCAGCCAAATTCGAAATGCAAGTATATGGTAAAACAAGAAATAAAACCAATCAAGACTAATAAATCGAGGCAGTAGCATTTCAATTTCTGACAGATTTCTAATGTAACATTAGATCACTAGCAGACGAAAAGCAGAAAAGAGGAAACATAACTCATCCTTTAAAAACAAGAATACCTTTTTTTTTTAGCTAAAAACAAGAATACATGTTTGTGCCTATGGATGTGCAAGCTACTGAACGTGTCAGGGTCACAATGTTGATGTGGATACTAATTTGGGAACTGTCGTTATTTCACCCCAAAAAGGAGAAGAAAAAAAAAGTCCATTTGAATCTTATTCTTTTCTTCAAAGGTACAACCCTTTCCTTGCCAAAGCCAAATCTCTCTTCCAGTTAATCAAGATGCTTAATATTTATTCTTAGTAATCTTAATATATTTCTTTTCCCAAATCACTTAAAAAGTACTGTCAAGGACAGCTGAAATTAAAATTCTTAAACTAGTTAATTGACAACTAGGTTCCTGAAACTTAACAGTTCCTTTATGAGATGAGACTTTCCTTACATCAAATCTGACACATCTAGCATATAACTGCATGTATATTCTACATAGCTGGTATCCTGAGAAAGTCTCTCTCTTCCTTTCTAAAGAAAGTTACAAAAAAAAAAAATTAAGTTCCCTGAAGCTGCTAGTTAGTTCTCATTGACTGACTTCAAACCATATATTTCCTTTTTCCAGTGCTGAATATTCTACAGCGTAGCAAGTTAAGATATTTCATTTCCCCTTTAGAAAACAAAATATAATGAAACAGGCTCGAGTATAACACTCCTTTTCTTTCCACTTGCATGTAAAATTGATAGAGTTCAATCTCAGATGGCAGCTCTTTTATTTGTTATTGTAACACAGAAATTTAGTATACAGCCCACAGAAGTTGCAAATCTACAAAAACCATTCTTGCCTTCATCAATTTTGACCTTTATGCCCAAAGAATTCTTCGCTTTAGATGTGGGGCTCAAAACCTTAACCAATTTTGAGTTTTGAAAGCAATTAAGAAAATCCTGGCAAATTGGGTGAATTCAAGTGGCAGACTTTCTTGAACAATTCAGACTTCCTGAGTTGCATATCAAATTTCTTATTGACCCGGTAAGGGTTCGAGATGGGAGGCAACAACTCACCCTCATTCGAGGTCTGGCTATGCCCTGTTCCGGCCTATGAACATAAAATACAGATCTGTTTTGTGTAGTTCTTGAAGAACACAAGTAACTACTGGAAATTAAAAGGAAAATGTGCCATCCTCATCTCTCTCTCCTCATCCATGAATGATGTGTTCACATTTAATTGTATTAACTGTAGTTGATTTGCAATGATTTAAGTTTGAATTATGACAACCCTTGTTCTGGATTTATCTTACTAAGTCCGAGTAGTCACACAAAATCAACAGAATAGCTTGACCCTATAATTTTTTTTTTAAGAAAAAAAAAAGAAAGATAATAATAACAATAACAAGATTAAATTGAAAGCTAGTGGAGTACAAAAATACTTACAAGAGGGATTATCTTTTGCTAGATCGCGAAATCTGGATTGCAGTTTTGTAGCAGCAGAAGTTCAGCTACAGATGATCGTATGCCTTATTGTAGGATGCTTGTTCCCTCCCACGTTATTTTATCATTAACAGAGTATCAAACTTCTTCCACTAGTGAAACTGTCATTGCTTTTCTTTAAAAATAAAATAAAATAAAATAAAAACCCCACAAAAAAAAAACCGCAGGCCCGTAGCCTTGGCATTGGATATGTGAAAGATGCGCGCTTTTTTCCACGTCCACTGTATTAAGGCCGGTGCTAAATGTTTGACTCATTGATATACCTGTCATTACTCGTTACCATCTCTTAGTTTATTACACCTGGGGAAAACGAACAAAATGGCTGGTTGGTAAAGACAGAAAAAGTTAATCAAATCACGTTGCAGAAGACATTTGATTAGGAAAGGTATGTTATCAACGAGTTCAAGGGATGGAAAGTGTAAACACTTTGAAATCTAAGCAACAAAAAGTTGTTTGTCTGCATTAGTAGACCTGTTCGTTATAAAACTTATACTTCATCTGCAAAAAGAGATTTGCTATAAAAAGGAAAATAGGCAGGGAAAGTGATTTGCTGTATCTGTCAATCGTTTGGTGCGACTATACTTACGTTTGAAGGGAAAATCGTCAAAAAGTCATTCACATTGTATAAAATAATTTTTTCATTCTTTATTTTTAAAAATATAATTTCACGTCCCTTATAAATTCACATTAGTCAAATTTAGTTCCTAACTAAGTTTTTAATTAATTTTTGAATGGAATTCACCACGTATCTTGTACGTGATCATTTTTTAGGACCAAATGTCAAATCACATTTCACATAATCTGATTTATAATCTCTCACATTTCACAAAATAATTTGTTTCATCCCTCATTAATCATATGTACGAATGGTTTTTCTTATTTTTGAAAACTCATATATATATTTATTTGATTTCACCTGAATAGTATGTAATATATCTCTATTTGATTTTACCTGAACAAGCTAATTATAATTGTAGGTGAAATCAAATATAAATATATTACATGCTATTCATATTGTTTAAGTAAAATTAAATAGATATATCCGTGGGTTTAAAAAAAGCTATTCGTACAAATTATCAATGAAGGATGAAAAAATTTATTTTATGAAATGTGAATGATTATGGATCGGATTATGTGAAATTTGATTTGATAATTTTTTTCCTAAAAAATAATCACGTGCAAGGCACGTAGTAGATCTCGACAAAAAACTAATTGAAAACTTAGGTAGGAACCAAACTTAACTAATATGAATTTGTAATTGACATAAAATTATATTTTTAAAAATAAGGAACGAAAAAAGTCATTTTACAAAATATAAGAGATGTTTTTAACGATTTTCCCTCTATTTTATTCTAAAGAAGTCTCAACATGGAATATTCTTCAAATTGGTTCGGACAACCTGTCACCAATTACATTTATTATCTTGTAAGAGCTATGATGTGGACCAAGTACAAATTTGTTCGAATAACCTGTATTGACCTTCATTTCGTTATGATCTAATTCGCAATCCAAATAGCTTGATGTAAGAATTAAGATGTGGATTTTGAAGCTTATACGTCGTTGCTGTTATGTTTATCTGAACTACTTTTTTCCTACAGATTTCTTACTTTTTTTTTTTTTAAATTCACCCTCCTTTTTAATTCCTTTCAATAATGACACTATCGTGTGTAGTAAGTGTGTTAGACTAGTGTTCATTGTATTGAGGCCGGTGCTAAATTTTGACTCAACACAAAAAGCTCAACAGTTGTTTCGAAAAGGCTCAACCAGTAGCTATTTCGTAAAAGATTCATGGATTTTAGGCTAGTACTCCTTCAATTTCATTGAAAGTGTCACGAAAATCATTAAAAATATCATGTTTTGTCATTAAAAGTATCATACTTTTTATTTTAGAATATTTCAAAATATTTGTCGTCTTATCAAAAGTCAAATATTCTCACTTTTATCTATATTTAATACTAAATTTAAATTTACAATTTGAATTTTAAAGTACAACTTTGAAAACAAACTATGAAGTCAGTTTTTAAGAGGTTGAAATTTCAAAATGTGATAAACAACTTGGGATGGATGGTGTATTGTATTTGCGAGTGGAGTACCCACAGTGCTAACCGTATATGAAACGGGACGCACAAGCTCCCAACCCATTTTACTTTACAAGTCCTTAATTCATCTTTCAAAACACCCTATTTTAAAATAACTCTTTCATAACACCTCAACTTAGCAGTGTTTTGAAAATCAGATTGGACCAGTCGGTTCGATCGATTGAACCTTGAACCAGTCAAGTCATCGGCCCAATTCAATGAATAACCTAAAGATTAATTGAATTGGTCAAGAACCGGTTGAATCAATAAAAATGGAAAAGTTCTATCAATTTTCATTAAATTTTTTTTATAAAATAAATATTTTAGTTTTATTCAAAATTTTTAATGTTAAAATAAATAAAAAATTATTAAATCTTTGAACTCGAACCGCGAATCGAAAGTTTTTTCGATTCACTGTCCGCTCCGAGTTTAGAAACATTGTAGCTCAGTTCAGTTCACGACCATATATTTAATAAGTCTTTAGACCATTAGCGACAATGATGATCACATTCCTGGAACACGACACAAAGGCTATTTTATTACCGGTTCGTTGTACATGGCAACCTACGTCTCCATCTTGTGAATTTTGTAATGCAAATTGCTTTATCAGGTTATGACTTGGAATTTGAAAAATTTTTCTTTCCGTTACAATGTGGGCAAAGATAAAAAATTATGTAAACCATGTCGGGAAAATGATGGAAATAGTCCCTCACATATCTTGAATATAGCTTTTTGGTCCCTCATTTTAAAATGTTGTAAATTCATCCTTCACATAGACAAAATGTATCATGTTAGTCCTTATATCCATTTTAGGTCACTTTTCCCAATAAATGCCCATGCCACCATGCAATAATAGTTTTAGGAGTACAAAAGATATTAGACGCCATTCTCCCCCAAATACATACGCCTAGTAAAATTAATAATTACAAAAATTTCAAGTTTTAGAAAAAATCTATAGGACTTGTAAAATGAGAAAATTCTAAATTCCGATAAAGAAACTTAACCAAAAAAAGAAATAATACTTTTAAATGGTTAAAAAAAAAGTGACCAAATACTAGTTGCAGTAACAAGAAAAGGGCAAGAAATATAGAAAAAATATGACAAATATATTTAAAAATATGACAAATAACACAGAGAACCCAACAAAGAAGAAGGAGAATAAGATATAGCCAAACGTGATTAAAAAAATAAAAAGAAACTAAGAAACAAATGAAATATATCTTAGGTCATGATTCGAAGTTGGGAGTTCAAGTCCTTTATGATAGATTGAGAATCTAAAAATTTTTATATTTTGAACAAAAATGGATGTAATACCCTTTGACCCGTGAAATTACTGTTTCATGCAAGCATGTGACGTTTTTTCTGTCAAAAAGACCTAGAAATGGATGTAAGGACCAAAATGGTGTACTTTGTGCACATGAAGGAAGAATGTTGCTTCATTTTAAAAGTGAGGGATAAAAAAGAGTATAAATACAATGTGTGAGGACTATTTATGCAATTTTTCCAACTATATTTCATACTTCTTACTTTTTTTTTTTTTTGGTTGACCTAGAGGTTTAAGTCTCTCCCTGGCAGCCTAACTCTCAGCTGGGCTGAGCGGAGCTGGTTTCATACTGCTTATTACTCTATGAACCAGAAAAACAGCTTCACTTTTAAAACCCCTGGCAGTGTCTCTAATTAGAAAAGGGTTAGAAGCAGACATAATTTAGGCCATTAAACACATTCGTCCTCTTCCTCCTGTACAAAAGCCAGTCCAGAAGTAAGCTTCACAATGCTGCAGTACTATCTAAGGAATATGCAGGTTCCTGTGCAAAGACCTGATTATGGGTTGGTCGAGACTGTGCCACCAGTGGCAGAGGGTGGTACTTATGATGTGGTGGAGACAATGCAGTTTTTGTATGTCAATGTTGTGAAGGCAAAGGATCTTCCAGGGGCGGAGATATCAGGAAGTCTTGATCCATATGTGGAAGTGAAGGTTGGGACTGACAAAGGGATCGTTACAAAGAACGTGGAGAAGAACCAAAGTCCCGTATGGGAAAGCGTTATTGCTTTCTCCAAGGAAAGACTGCAGTCCAATTTGATTGAAGTAACTGTCAGAGACAAAGAAACTGATCTAGAGGGAAATTTTGTAGGAAGGGTATCATTCGATGTAACGAAAGTTCCTCTTAGATGTCCGCCAGAAAGTCCAATAGCTCCTCAGTGGTATAAATTGGAGGATGAAGACAGTCAAAGGATCAAAACGGGGGAGATTATGCTTGCAGTTTGGATGGGAACGCAAGCGGATGAGGCCTTTACTGAAGCTTGGCACTCCGATGCTCAGAGCTTTAACAGGCAGAGTCAAGTTGATACACGGTCAAAAGTTTATTTTTCGCCAAATTTGTATCACCTGCGTATTCATGTTATCGAGGCTAAAGATCTTATATCCTCTGAAAAAGGTAGGCAACCGGCTGCATATGTGAAGGTAGATGTTGAGAATGAAAGCGATAAAACAGAGCCATCAAAAGAGAGAACCAATAGTCCAGTATGGAATTCTGAAATGATGTTTGTAGTGTCGGACCTTTCTGATGGATGCATATTTATAGCGGTTGAGGACAAGGTTGGACCAGGCAAGGAAGAGGTAATTGGAACGCTACTGATACCTGTTATAGAAGTTCCACATAGAGGGGAAAACAATAAGCTTCCTGATTCTCGATGGTTCAACCTCCAAAATCGTTCGGTGACTGAAGGAGAAGGAAAGAAGAAGAAGGTAAAGGTAAACTGTTGCAGCAGAATATGCCTTTCCATCTGTATAGATGCTGGTTACCATGTTGTGGATGAGCCCATTGAATTTAGCAGCGATTTTCAGCCTTCTGCAGAACATTTGAGAAGGTCTAGCATTGGCTTTCTGGAATTGGGGATTTTGAGTGCTCAAAATCTGCTACCAGTGAAGATGAATAATGATGGTATAAGTACACGAACTGATGCTTATTGTGTGGCCAAGTATGGTAACAAGTGGGTAAAGACAAGAACCATTCTTGATACTCCGACACCTCACTGGAATGAAAAGTATACTT